GTTGGAACAGACTCAACAGCCCTTAACAACAACAACATGCATGTTATTGTTAAGGGCTATCTAGTCCATTCTAATTCATAGCAACTCTGTATAAAGTTTCTGAGGAGCTTATTCTGGATTTGAACCACTGATCTTGCAGTCACACCAGGACTCCATATGTTAGCACAAAGTTAATTTTAACCAGATATCATCTATAAAAACATGAGAACATAGAAATTGGGCTAATGTGATATAAAATATCTTTCTTTTCTGTGAATTATCCTTTATCCAAATCTTTTTAAGATTGGTTCTGCCCTTGTTTTTTTATGATTCAGTGATTTAAGGATTTGCTCTACTGTAAACTGATTTAGTTTAACATAGCTGCACATATCTAAGTATATGTTTTTAAATAACTAAAAATAGATGTGCTGTAAAATATATTAAATTATCATTTTTCTCAAATTCATGCTTAAAATCATGCCTGTATCAAATAATTATGAAACTGTCTAAACAGAAATCACAGTTAAATAAATCATTGCATTTTTCTATAAGAAAATATGAATAATTGAGACTTGAGTGTTTGTTTTTATATGGCTATATAAATTAAGTGCTTTATGACTGTTTTCCATTTATTTTGATGTCATAATGCCAAATAGACAGATGGAGTTACTGATTAAATGGAAATTTCCCCCAGATTCTAATGTGCTATATGGATTTATCCTTACTAAATGCAATCAATTGAGCTTCTCTGTTAAATAAAATAAAAGAATAATGAAAGTTATATATTATTAACATATGGTTCTAGGTTTTAGAAGAAAGTACATTTATAAAGATGAAAGGAAAACAATGTTTCTAAATAAAAAGAAATGTCATTTTTATTGATGAAGAAATGTAGATGTGAGATTTAGATGACAGTCAATGTCATCTGTTGCATATTCCACGAAAATCTGTGTTTACTTATTAAAATGTGATAACCACAGAAAGCATACAGGTTTGATTAAGTGCTTTGTGTAGGATGTTTTGTTTTCTTTCCTATAGTTATATATTTGTTCTTTGTTACATTTATATTTTGATCTTATAAGAAATAAATATTGTATTGAGAAATAACTCTTAAGAATTAGAGATATAAAATTTCCAGTTACAAGAAGAAATTTAGATTTTAACATGACTGGTAAGTTTACATCTAATGTATTTTTTCAGTTTGATTGGAACAAAAAAATGTGTATGCATATCGTCCAGAATTCAGAATGCATTGAACAAATATATACATTTAGACTCTATATATTAAAAATCAGTTTTAGAAATGGTTTATATTCATATAAGAAAAGAAATTTAATACATTAAAAAGGAATAAAATAAAAATTTCTCAAATAAATTTAGATTTTCTCTTTTCATTTTTATTTCAAACGTATTTTGTGTTCACAAAATAGCAATATTTGGTTTGTGTATTGTGTTGCTATGATTTGAAACTGACTCCACACCACCTAACAACAACAATCATTTGATGAGATGAAGAAAAGAAAATGAAACCAGTATAAGTGAATTATTTTTATTTTTCACTTCTGCTCTGTAACACAATGCATTTCTAACAAAAAAAATTAATTATATATTTATGGTATATTTTGGAAACACTGATAGCTAGCTAGGTGTTGTTAGGTGGTGTGGAGTCAGTTCCAATTCTTACTGACCCCATGTACAACAGAATGAAACACTGCCAGGTTTTGCACCATCCTAACAACGTTGGGGTCGTGTTGTGGTGCCATGGGTTGATGCGCCAGACTGCAAAGTCGTTTGAACTGCAGGATTGGCATTTCAAACTCACCAGCTGCTCCTCGGAAACCCTATACAGGGTCGCTATGGGTCAGAACCAACTCGACGGCACTTAACAACAACAACAACAGTAGTTGTTATGCTTAAGCCCATTGTTTCTGCCACTGAGCCAATTCATCTCATTGGGGTTGTCTTCATTTTCCATGTGTATTTATTTATTTGTGCTACAGATCCAAAGATAATTTGGTTGGCTTGAATATTAGATGATCTATGTGTTAAATAAGTTTTTGCTCCTTAAATTCTTACTTGTATCTGTATATACTCATTTATTCAAGAATAATTTCAACACAGTTTCCATGAAGTCTTGGCATGTTACTTATCTTACATTGTTGTTGTTAAGCACCGTCAAATTGGTTCCAACCCATAGCAACCCTGTATAGGGTTTCCAAGGAATGGCTGGTGAACTTGAATCATTGCAGTCCAACGAATTTGCCCACAGCACCACACCAGGATTCCACATACCTTACACACTTATTGAATTATACTATATATCAATCATTCAGTGTTTTAAATATATTACTTATAGACAGTAAAATTCCTGGTTTGCCCTTGAAGAAATAGTTCTGAGTGTACTGGAATCTATTGCCAAATACAAGGTACATTTTTCTAATATTACTGTTATATTACTTACTATATTGTTTGAAAATACACATAGGATGCATATAGATCTTTGAGGAATGTATTGTGAAAAGAATATAAGGTATTGCTTATTTGCAAACATGTAAAATGATGTTCAGTTTTTTAAATGTTTTTACTTAAATCAGTAAAGCATTGCTTTTTTCTCTTTTTTAATAGAGCAGTGAAGTTGTCTACTACAACGCAAAAGATGATCTTGATGTGAGTATTAAAAGTTTTACATTAAACTCAAAGATAAAGTTAGTTCTAATTGGTTGATTGGTTGGGTTTACAGAACAAATTGATCCTGTAGGTATAGTTTTCCAGGAAGAATTAGACAGCATAATCAAAACTAGTTAGAGACAAGGTAATGATGGAGTTTAGTACTGAGGTCATATTTATAATAACTTATTTTTGGTATCTTCTTTGGAATAAACAACAGGCATTTCGTTTATAATAAACTTCCCTTCCACTGCATCCTGTGCAGATTGTATTCTGCTATTCTGATGTATTTTGTGATTCAATGGCATTAGCAAAATTGAAGACAGAGATTAGATTCTATCCATCTCTGCATCTTGGCTCCTGGCACCAGGGTGACAACACTTCTGCATAAGCCAAAGGGAATCATTCATTTCAAATACATTGGGAATAGCACCATTGGAAGCTGTGCTACTTGTCCAGTCTTAGAAAACAACATTGTAGTTCTGCTCCTCAGAAAACCCTATATAGGGTCACTGTGAGTCAGAACCAACTCAACAGCATTTAACATAGAACCTAGGACATGAATGAAAAATAAAAATTATTAACACAGATAAAATTTCCACAGGAAGAACTAACACATTTGATATTGTACATTATTTATCAAAGAAGTACAGAGCAAACTTGGAAAATTTTTACAGATGTACCCAAAAATAAATTATGAGAAAAAAGATGTGATGATGGAGGAAAAAGCACAGATATCTAAACCATACATCATGTATTCCCAAATATCAAATCAAAGTTTCTGAATTTGAGATAATAATCAATTATTTAATAGAGAAAGTATTCAGGTCACCGAATCATTTGGAAGATCAATGATGTTTCAGGAAAGATGTTTCAAAGTCAAGAACATTTATACCAAAATCTTGTACAAAATCTTGTACAAGGACATCCAAGTAGAAATTTCTAATAGGTTGCTAAATATTTAGCTCTGTTGCTTAGAACAGTGGCCTAGAATAAGTTTTATGTTTGTTAAGTTTTATTGATTTTGTTCATTGTAATAGTGTAATGTTAAACATGTCCTCACTTAAAGGTAAAATAAGAATTTTATTGTTTTTAAGTGCTACTGAGTCAGTTCTGACTCACAGCAACACTGCACGTGTTTCCGAGGGGCGCCTAGTGGGTTTGAACCACCAGTTAACAGTCCAATGCTTAGCCTACAGGACTCCATGTTCTGCAATATTCCATCTTAAATGCTCAATATTCTTTAAAAACCAATTCAAATGACTACTCTTACAGTTTTCACATCAGAGCGTTATCCTAGCTAATTTGAAACACATTATTAGCTTTAGTGCTATAAAATTATAGTATTTATAAACAAGAATTGTCTTCTGAATTAAATTTTTAGCAACTTGGGGTAAGGTTCTTATTCAGTTTATACTATTCTATGACTTGGGGTGTGGCGTTGTGGGTTGATATGCTGAACTGCAAAGTGTTTGACCACAAGGTAGTTGGTTAAAGCTCACCAGTCACTAGAAAACCCTATACAGGGTTGCTATGGATCAGAATCAACACGACGGCATTTCACAACAACAGCAATTCTGTTCTATAGAATAGAGTAATTGTTGAGATACTCTTTGGTAAATTTGATAGGAATTCTAATATCCATATTATTTAGGTAGTTTTTTGTGAAAAGGGTTAACTTTTAAAATTTATGCTCTATTTGCAAAGTAAACAGAAAACCTCTGGAAATCATAGTAGAAATGAAAATGTTTGCTTTGTTTCAGGTTTAGATGGAAGCAGCTTAAAGGGAGAGATAACAAAGCTAGTTTTGGGAATGGAGTGATAGTGGACAATGTTCCTTTGTCTTCAGTCCTGCTCTGCCCTCTCCTCTGGTTGGTCCCCAGATGGTCTTGGGTCTCGCGGACTAATGGAACATCAAAACAAGCAATGTGCTTGCCTTTATTTCATAAACTGACTCAAATTAGAGAATAAGTAGCAAAATTGGAAATTTGTCTGCATTCACTACAAGCGATATAAAAATTGTTGTTGTGTTATAAGAAAATAGGATGAGCACTTTGCTGCAAGGTCAGGAGTTCATAATCTATACCGGGCTGCTATGAGCCAGAACCAACTCCAGGGCACTTAACAACAACAACAACAACAAGATAAGGACAAAGTAGAAGTACACCCATGGAGTTTTGTAGGCTGAAATCCTTATGGGAGCAGATCACCTGATCTTTTCTTCTGAGCAACTGCTGGTGGGTACAAACAACCCACTTTCTGGTTAGCAGCTGCGTGCTTAACCAATGCCCTATCAGAGCTCCTCAATATAAAGATTAAAAACAAAAAAACCAAACCATTGTCATCAAGTCACTTCTGACTCATGACTCTCTATAGGGTTTCCAAGGCTGTCCGTCTGTACTGGAGCAGAAACCCTCACCTTTCTCCTCGGGAGCACTGGTGGGTTTGAACTACCAACTCTGCAATTAACAGTCCAGTGCTTATCCTATAGTAACACCAGGGTTATAGGATGTTTAATTCCAAATATGGGCAGATTTGAAAAGTTAAATTATAATGAATCTCTGTGAAACATAAAAGCAGGCTTATTTTATTACTCCATCAAACTAAAGTTCTAGTCGAGTCTCTATATGATTAGAATAAATAATATATTTTGGGTTTCATTTCAAAACAAGCTAAATCATTTAGATTGGTATAATACTTCAGTGTAAGATGTTTGGTGCTTTTTAAAATGACAATACTTAACTATATATAAAATAGAGAGAGAATAGCATAATGAATCTCTATAGATTCATCTGTTATTTGCTTAAATATGTTTAGGTAATTAGAGATAAGACATTTCACTCCTAAATACTTCACTCAGCAACTCTAGTTCTTTTGTGTTCCCTTTAATAACCACAAAGCGTACAAGTGAAAATGCAATCTCGGTTTCCGTACAAGAAGAAGGAGTAGAGTGTAGCGGTTAAGAGATTTTTCTCTGGAGTGTTAGTACTTGAATTTAACTTCTAGAGCTGCCATTTTCAAACCGGATAATATACATATAATATCCACATCACCCTGTTTGAAAATGGCAGCTCTAGAATTCTGTTTTACTCTATGGTCTGTAATATTGAGAAAATGATAATAATCTAATTGCATTTTTGTGAGGACTGAATTAAAGATAACACTGAGAACATTCCCTAGCCCATAGGTGGCAGTCTAGAAATGTTAAAGACTATAATAATAATAATTTATTTTTACAGAAAATTTAGGGGTGATTTGAAATTATTTTAACACCAAATGAAGGGCCGTATTTGTGAGTATATATATGCTAACAATGGAGTTCTGGTCTGACACTGTGGGTTAATGTGTGAACTGCAAAGTTGACTTGAACAGCAAGGTTGGCAGTTCAAGCTCACCAGCCGTTTTTTAGAAACCCTATTCAGGGTCTCTATGGGTCAGAACTGAATCAACAGCACTTAACAATAACAACATACACTAAAAAATATGAAATAATATTATATTGAAATGTTTTTCATCTTATTATCATAAATATCCTTGCAATTATATAAGGTATTTAAGATAATTCACATATAAGGTAGTGTTGTTAAGTGCTGTTGCGTCAATTCTGAATCATAGTGACCTTATATAGGGTTTCTGAGGAGAGGCTGGTGAATTTAATTAAGGGTAGTATTCAAAACATTTAGAAAAAAATGAGCAGAATTCAGGAATTTGCTGTGATATTATTGTTAGTTTTATATATCAATGTTTTAAAGAACAAGAAAATTGCAAGTAAAATAGAAGGGGAAATAAAAATACTGCTAATACAAAATTGAGAGTTTGGTGGCTACATGCCATAAGCAATGGGTTAGCACTGGACTTACCACAGTAACCACAAAGTCCGTGGATCAAGGCCACCAGCTGCTCTGCTCAGAAACCTGATATAGCGTCTCTATGAGCCTGACTCCACAAGACAGGACTTAACAACAATGCAAAATTATCTATGAAATGTCACATCCAAGTTCTCCATAGTTTTAAAATGTACATAGGTCTGTAGTCGAGGTTTTTAGAGGCGTCTGTATCAATAAATTCTTTAAATTCTCTGAAGATTACTAAAGCAAATTCCCCAGAAGACTCCACTTGTTCCAACAAGCTGCATTATTTTCTTAATTCCCAAAGTAAGCAGAAAGAAAACAGATCATTACTAACCCTTATTAACCTAATTCTAAGATCTATGTTTCTGACTAAAATCTAAATGAAAAAAGTTTAACCTAGAATCCCCATGCCATTAAATAAGTTGATTTATTTGCTACATTTTCTTATATTGATCATACTGAAAATCTGGCCCGTTTAGGGCATTTGGCTAGTCTGCTGAATTTACTTGCATATTTGTGTTGCAATATAATGTGATATCCAAATATTATTAAAACCCCAATTTATGTTATTTCAAAAAAAAAAAATAGAATTTTTTTGACAATAGAATGAGCTAGTAGTGATAAGCATTTAGTCAATTTAGTTAAGTGGTGTTTATTGTAATTATTAAAGAAAAATCAAAGTCTAAATTTGTTAACTTAAAATATATATATATATAGCATGTTGGCTTTATATTCTAACTCACAAAATAACCCATGTT